TCCAACCTCACCTTGCCAATTCCTCAGCTGATCTTGTTTCCTCAGACTGAAAGCCTCTGAGTCCTCATCTGAATGGATCTCAGCTGAACTGCTGCTAAAAGCTAAAAGCTTAAAAAAGCCTCTAGTTCCTTATCCTAACGCCTTATATACCTTCCTACTTTCTGCCATCACTTCCTGGGATTAAAGGTATGTGTCACCATGCCTAGCTGTTTACAGTGTGGCTTTGAACTCACAGAGATCCAGATGGATCTCTGCCTCTGGAATGCTAGGATTAAAGGTGTGTGTGCCACCATCTTTCTGGCCTCTATGTCTGTCTAGTGGCTGTTCTGTACTCTGACCCCAGATAAGTTTATTAGGGTGCACAATATATTAAGAGACACAATATCACCACAGTCCTCCTTCCTCCCATCATCCTCAGTTTGGCTATCCTAACTACACTTCCTGCCTGGCTACTGGGAATCAGTTTTTATTAACCAATGAAAGTAATATATATTTACAATCTATAGGATTATTTCACAGCAGCATGTAACTCTGATTTTTAAATTGAATCATGAGGTCTTTGAGCCTCTTAACTTACTTTTCTTGACATATAACCTGCCTTTCCTGATTTATATGAATTAGTATAGAATGTAGAGGCTCAGAAATTGGTGTTCCTCTTACTATGTAAGGAAGAATCCGATTAGTTCTTGCTTTGGGGATATTTGTTGCTAATCTCTCCAAAGAAATTACAGCAATCTTTTTTGTCAGTGTTAAATTTTGGTTCATAATGAGACAATTTCAGCATTAAAAAAAGATATGAAAATTTCTTCAGTTCTACTTCTGCTAATTGATGAGATCCAAATTTTCCTTTCAGAAAACTTTTCTACATAGGTCTTATATTTTTACTCTGTTTTTTGGTTAAAATATCTATTCTAAGATAATATCTTCTCTCTGCATTAGAATTCTGATAGGAGAATGAGTAGAAGGTAGCATGATTAGGATACAATCAATTATGGATCCAAGTGATACACATGTGCATCCTGTAATTACTTTTCTAACAGAGGCAAGACTTTCTCATCCCCAGCTGATTATTTTCTTGGTACTATTTAAGTCCTTGTTGCCTGATAAGGTCTAAAATACATTACTTAGCTCTGGAGAGGTTAATCCAATTGAGTGCTATAGTCAGTTAATATCTCACAGCAATTTGAAAATAATTAAGATTTCATAGTATATCTTTCTTGATTTTTCACTTTCTGTGGTTGTTCTCTATAAATTTATCGTATATACTCAGTAATTAATATAATATCCTCTTCATGTTTTTCAGGAGCAATTTCTAATCCCCAACCAGGTAAAATTCTCTTTACTTCGTTGAATATTTTTTAAAGTACCTGCACCTAAATCAATCAGCTAGTAATCTATCTGACATATAATGATAAAATATAGATTGAGGAAATTTAATGAATTATTTCTAATGGCTGTTGTACAAAATACTGACAAAATGTCAAGATGTATAACATTTTTTTTTCAAAGAACTTTCCAGTGGTACCTCTTAACAGGCTGGGAATTACTAAAAGCCATTGTGAAGGAAATTTTCTTCCTATCATGTTCTTGTAACGATATAGTGAAAAAGAAGTCTTTTGAATCAACAATTATAATAGGACCCTCCTTTGGTAATAAAGACGGCAAGAGAATTCCAGGCTGTAAAGAGCACATTAATCACAGTGTTAATGGCTCTAAGGTTAATTACCATTCACCATTTACCAGATTTCTTTTGAATAACAAATAGAAAAGAATTTCAAGGACTGGTCAATTCTTCAATATTCTCACATTTAGCTGCTTTTGTGCCAGTTGTTTCAATTCCTGTAAATTTTCTGGTGTCAAAGGCCATTGTGCTAAACACACAGGCTTGTCAGCTAACCACTTTTAAAGCCAAGACTGTTGGTACCATTGAAATATGAAAAACTGCTGTGCCCTGCTTATGTACAACCTTGATGGACCATGACTGGTTTTGATAATAATTTTTAATGTTGATTGTAGCTGAAGTTATCCTGTTCCTGCCTGGGTCCCATGGCCCTCAGACCCTAGCAAAAACACAGATACTTAATATTATTTACAAATTGTATGGCCTAATGGCTCAAGCTTCTTGCTAGCTGTTCTTATATCTTAAATTAACCCATTTCTATTAATCTATAAGTTGCCACATGGCCCATGGCTTATTGGTACCTTAACATGTTACTTCTCATCATGGTGGCAGGCAGTGTCTTTCCCTCAATCTGCCTTCCTATTTCCCCAATTATCCACTCTGCTAATCCTGCCTATACTTCCTTCCTGGCTACTGGTCAATTAGCATTTTATTTATCAAACAATTATAGCAATATGTTCACAGCATAGAGAACATCCCACAGCAGTTGATCTTAGAAGCATTCTTTATTTCATGGTTTATTTCTGAGATTAGAGGAGTGTAAATTTCCATTTTCCATTGCTATAACAAATTATGGCCACATAAATTCATTGTTATGCTAGCTACATATGGTTTTCTATCTGTCCTTCTGTCTTTACACACTCGACCCACCTTGTACTTTATTTTACCTGAGATAAAGTACTAATCCCTAAAAGCTGAATATTTACCACCTGAAGAGGTCAATATGGATGCCAAGGTTTTTGTGAAATTATGGTTATCTTTACACCTGTGTTCAGTAATCCTTTAATTACAATATCATTTTTTTTCATATTTATAGCTTGGGCCTTTGAGTATTTATAGAAATTTTCTAAAATACTTGTTTTATGTTCTCTCCTGAATTTTCTGTTGTATCTGCTGAAGCTGTTCAGTCCTTGACCATATCCAGAGCAGTATTTTTTTTTAACAATAGGCATTAAGTCTTTTAATTACTCTGCGGATAAGTTTCTCCAATTCAGACAGGGAATGATTGAACCAAATTTGGTATTGGGGCCTACAAGTGGCACCTTTAGGCATTTCCCAATGGCAAAGTGGTACCTTGTCTGTCCCTTGTTGATCTGCATTCATTAGTCCAAAGCAAGCCTTTGACACATCTTCTGTGTGCTCCAGAAGTCTAAGTAAGTCCCTCTATTTGGATTATCTCTCAAAAAAGCTTTGTTTCTAGGAATTCCTTGCCTATAATTCCTTTTCAGATGACCTTGCTTAACACAATTAAAACATCTGATATTTTTATTTTACTTAAAACATTTTGAAATCACTTCCCCTATGAATATAGCATAAAAATATGAGATTGAATAAAATTTTATTTCTAATCTATCTATTGGTTATGATCTTGCCTTTAAAGACCTAGTCATCCTCTTGCATTCTGAATTAGCATTTTGAAAGGCTATAGATTCAGTTAATATTTATATCACTTCTATATCTGATACTATTCTATTTACAGCTGAAGCCAATCTTTACAAAAAAAATAAGTGAGTACTTCTTTGGGGCCTTTTATAACTTTAGTAAATGATTTAGACCTCTTTTGTGATACTTCAACCTTGTCCAAAACTGTTTGCAGATCAGCATATTGACCTTCACCAAAAATTGGTCTTGGGAAATATCAATACCTCTAACATTGTTTTTTCATTGTTCTCTGGACATAGCTTCTTATTTCCACCACGTTCTACACTGTAACTGAGGTCTAGCTTCCAATATTGCTGTAACTAGACCTTTTCCATCATGGGGGATAATTATAGTATATGTTGCCTATAAACTTAACATCTGTTTCACTTATGGTGAATGCATACTATTTGAAAGGACCACTTCTTTAAATCTCCTCAAATCTAATATCTATAGGATTCAATTTAACTTCTGCATAACCTCGGGGGTGCCTATCATCAGTTGGTCATTCTTGTGTAGTAACTGGATAAACTGAGCTTGGTCATCTAATAACCTTTAGATGTCCTTCTTCAATTTCATCATGCAGGGGTACAGTAGGTTCCTGTTTAAATTCCTCTGTGTTTAAGTATTTTTCTTACTTTCATTAGTAAGTATTTCTAAGGTTTGTATCTTAACAGTCAAATTTTCAAATTTGGCACAATTACCAAACCACTTTTTAAATGTTAAAATATGGATTACCAAACGTATATTAATTGACAGTCAGCACCATGTCAATCCCAGCTAAGTTGGTTAGCCCTTAATTTACTTTTTCTGCTTCTAATCCATCCATTCTGGCACTATACAAAGTCCTAAATACCTGCATTGTGACATTGTTAAAGTGGGAAAGAATTTTCTTTGGACTTCCTAGGTGTCTCACCAAATTTGCTGCCATGTCCTTGACAGAGGCAGGCATGTGAGGCACTTGGGAACGGGGTGCAGACACAAGGGGATGGCTGCAGGAAGAGCTAACCAGGGAGCAGCTGCAGTGGCAGTAAGAAGTGGTGGTTTGAGAAGTGGCTGTGTGATCGCGTGCCAATCGCTGGTTGCCACATGCTGTTTTTATCTAAGCTTTTATATTTACCAGTAAATACACAAGAGTTAGATATGGGGGTGGGGGGGAAGAACCTGCTAGAGAAACAACGAGCTGAACTTCCTTTACCTCCAGACACCAAGCAAGAAAACGTCTCTCCTTCTGTCCCAAACCAAACATGGCAACAAATCTCTAAGTCCCTCCTTCCTTCTTCCTGTGCATCTCTCCATGTGACTTCCCAGGTCCTCTACACTCTCTATGGATTTTTTTTTTTTTTTTTTTTTGACTATGTAACCAGGAGTCCTATGAAGGAATCCTGAGATAGCTCTGTAGTTCTTGCTGGTCTGAGTTGGAATTCAAAATTAACATCTTTGCCTGTGAGCTTCTTATACACATCAGAAAATGTTTCAACCATGTGCTCCACATTGTTCTGCTGAGCTTTGTCT